CTTTTGAAATTCAAATACAGATTTGAATCTAAAAATAATAAAAGAAAATTAAGTTTGTGTTTGGCTCCCAAGGACAATATTTTGCATTAATATGGAGCTAACTTGGAGCCAAAAGTCTGTATTAAAAAACAGTTTGTTTTTTTACTGAAAAAAAAAATACTTTTGAAACTAAATTAAGATTTTAATCTAAAAAAAAAATAAAATAAAAATAAATAAGTTTGTGTTTGGCTCCAAAGAAAAATATGTAGCAATAATATGGAGCTAACTTGGAGCCATTAAGCCTGTTTTAAAAACATACAAAATTCATACTGATTTGAATCTAAAAAAATTAAAGATAAAAAAATGTTTTTGACCTGTAAAACTTTTATTTTTTTTATATTTCTTTCGTTTTAACATGAATGCCCCTGAGCATGGGGTGTGGATAAAGAAAAAGAAAACAGGAATATTTTTAAAACATTTCTACAAACAGCAGTTAAATAAAGATGCTTGGAATTAGAGAATTAATTTAAACTTTGATTTGTCTTAAATTCTGAAATAAAAGAACCAAAGAAATGTAAATATTTTACCAAATAACTGATTCATTTGTGGTCTGGATTCTAAAAATGGCGGCACTTTCTTGTCATTTAAAGTTTCACGCATTATTTTCCCCTTTAATAGTTATAGTTTTGCTTTTAGTTATTAACATTTTAAATAGTTTAACAAACATCCTGAGACTTTTACTAAAGAACAGACTCAACCATTTCTTTGTTGCTAAAAAGAACAGAAGAGATTATCTTAAGAGCTTAAACTGCTTTGTTTGAATATTAATGTATCGTTGAGAAAGTAAGAGATAAAAGATTGATCGTTCTGTGGAGCCTGGATGTGCGAGACGTTGTGATTAAATCCGTGTTTCCTGGTGTGCAGGTGGAAGACACGTGGCTGACGGATAATTGTGAGAAGACCTGCACATGTAACAGCGGTGGAAACATCATCTGCAAGGACCACAGCTGCAACTCCAACTCAGTGTGTTCCCTGGACAAGTACGGAGACCGCTACTGCCAACCTGCCAGTGAGTCCCACGACACCCGAACGCATCGCACAGATCAAAGCCCTGTCTAACCGCCAACCTTTGCACGCTTCCCAGAGTTCGACAGGTGCACCATCTCCGGAGACCCTCACCACAGAACGTTCGACGGCTTCGCCCATCACTTCCAGGGTCCGTACACCTACGTCCTGACGCAGGGCCACAATCTGCAGGGCTCCCAGACCCCCCTGTTGGTGAGGGGGAAGAACCTCAGGCGAGGCAACAACAAGAAAGTGTCATTCCTGGACGAGATGTATGTGGACGTCTACGGCGTCAACGTTCGTTTCCAGCAGAAGAAAGTAGTCCTGGTCAGTGTTGGAACTAACTGCAGCAATATTTGGGGTGTTTTAATCTACAGAAAACAGATTATCTTTGAATTGAATTCCCCTTCAGGTGAACGGGGAGCGCCTCACGCCTCCTCTTAGTCCGGTCGGCGGTTTAACCATCACCATGAACTCCAAGCAGGTCCAGCTCTCCACAGACTTTGGCCTTACCGTCCGCTTCGACGGCAAAAACCGCGGAGGTAAAGTATCTCCAAACCAAGGCCTCCTTCCAGCTGGTTTCTAAACGTCTTCTGCTTCACGGCTTCCGTTTTCCTCTTGGTTCCTCCAGATATTATACTCCCCAGCACCTATAGGAACTCTGTCAGGGGACTGTGCGGGAACTACGACGGCATCTCCAAGAACGAGTACATGAAGCCCGATGGGACAGTGGTGAAGAACCTGAACGACTTCGGAGAGAGCTGGAAAACCGACGACCGTCCGGCTGGACTGAGGACCTCTGATGTTCACGCTACTGTTCATGTCCACAGGTACGACGGAAGCTAGCCTACGTCAGTGATTGGTTTTGTTTTTCTTTTCTCATCTAAACAAGTCCCACACATTAAAGACGTACAATATTTAAATGTCAAATCATTCTGGCTCAAACATCTATATAAATGTTCTCTTTATCAGACCATATTGTCCCAAAATTGGGAAAATGTATATTTTTTAAAAATCCTGTCTTAAAATCTGTGTGCCCGACTTTACAGGAGTGAATAAAGTGAATGTGATTGGTCGATTATCAAGGGGGCGGGATTGTTGTGGCGGAAGGTTCGCAAGAAGAAAACGGAGTTTGGTCCGATGATGACCGGCTAGTTATGGGGATTTACATGCTTTTTTAAAATATTTATATATTTTTTTTATATTAAGATGATTTTAGCCCCCATAGAAATGAATGGAGAATCTCCAGCCTTTTTTTCACCTTCAACCACTTTAATGAAT